TCGGGGTCGTGACCGGATCTGCTCCTTCAGGGCCTTTTTCATTGCATTTTCCATGTCTTCATATCCCTTGAGAGGTAAGTTCAAGCCCTCCAGTGCTGTTGCTATCTTCTCTATCTCCCTCTCTGTTGGGTGTCCTGTTCTATGTTCCTGTTTCCCCTTTTCTGTTCTGTCCACATGTGTCTCAAAGATCAACCTGAGGCGGTTGTGGTCGCTCCCCAGGTTGCCCAAGCCATCCTCATCTATTTTCATGCTCGTCAGCCTGTCATATATTCCAGGTGAGAGTAGACCATAGTCTATGCTTGAGCATTGATCCCTTGCTGTCCATGTGACGGTTCCCTCACATCTCGGTGCATAACATCATGGTTGCCAGTTAGCCAAAATCACAGAAAACGCTCTCCCATCCTTCAGAAAGGTTGAAACAGCCCATCTGAAACTTGCAAGGTCTCGTTTTCAAATCGTAACAATTGCCAATCGAGCATGCTCTGCATCACGGTGCAAGATATACTTACAATTCAGCATTTTCTGTTTATTTTTAATAGAATTTGGAGGGTGGTTTTCAGAGTTTAGTTTTCCGCTGAAAATTCTGGGTTTATCGGAGTTCATTTTGTTAGATTCCCCAATTCTCTGAAATACAAAATTTAATTTACTGTAATCAGAATTTAAAAGAAAACAAAAAAACAATATAAATAAAGTCTGGGTACCTTTATCGTGAAGAAACCTTGACGAGCTGAAAGGCAAACTCGTTGTGCGTAAAACACGGTCGTTTTTGCTTTTTTATTTTGTAATTGTGACCTCGAAATTCAGAGTTTGTCGGATAAATCCGAATTAAGAAAAAATTGACCAGCAAGTGTGTTTTTTTTTTTTTAATTTATTCGAAAACATGGCAAACGTTGCGACGCTATCGACCAAATAAAGTCCCATTGGAGCACGTCGAAGCAGCCTCAGCCGACACGTCTCTGCCCCATCCATACAATGCAACTAAACAAAAACGTCCCACGTTTATGGCATTTGAGCACACTAACTCTGCTCGGAGCATCTGCTCCGAGCATCTGCTCCAACCTTGACGGACTCGGGATCGAACGCCATGCCAAACCTCCCTGCCTCAACGCGTTCATAAAACCGTTATTGTCGCCGCTGAGGCACAAAACTAGGGTCAATGACGAAGCAGTGTCTAAGCAATGCACATAGCACGAGTGCCAAGTTCTACTTGATGTGGCACTTCCGGATAACAGCTTTAAAAATAAGTGCGTCTCCTGTAAAGTAGCATGGGAAACCGGAGCCTTGACAGGCTGCCATTGGATGAGCGTCCAGCGGTGCCGTTTGCAACTGAGGCTAGGAGAGGACTTTATCTTGCAGCTACGACGCATGCGGTGTCCACACCTGAATATGTATATATACGAGGTATGACCTAAAACTTCCGAGACTGATTATCTATCGTAAAAAGGGAGAGCAGCACAGGGATGCATGCGAAGCAGTCGAAAGAAGAAACTTCCGTGTCTCGTTATGTTGAAGGGCGTTGCTCTGTGAACATTCGGAGCTGCGCTACACGGTTTTTGTGACCATGTGCACGGGCACAATGGTGATTTTACCATAGACTGCAAACCAGAGCGAGAGCGAACATCAAATCTGCGTCAAACTCGTAAAATATAAAACAGAGACCTGTGAAATGATTCAGCAGGCTTGTGTCAAAAAGCGGTGAATTTAGTGAAGTGTCTTAAGTGGCACTCACGCTTCGGGAAGGGCACAGAACGTTGCTGGAAGACTGAAGACCGGCAGGGCAGCCTCATGCGACCTCTCCTTTACTTCAGCGACAGTCTGCCATTCTTGAGGTGCAAGTGCCACTCAGAGCACCTCGCACAGCTCGTTGCTTTTTGACATAACCCTTCTAAATCATTTCAAAGGTATGCGTTTTTCATTTCTCATGTTTAAAGTAAAATTGATGTTCACTCTTGTTTTGGTTTTTAGTCTATGGAGGGATCGCCATTATGCTCGTGCACGTGGTCAAACTTGTGTAGCGCAGTTCCAAATGTTCACAGAGCGATGCCCTTTGGCATAACGACGCAGGAAGGTACCTGCCTTCGACTGCTGCGGGTGTATCACTGTGCCACCGTCACCTACGCTACAAAATCAGTTTCGGAACTTTTTTATCAGACCTCGTATATCATGCAGTGTGCCTTGCACAAGCTCGAAAATGGCGGCACCCATAAAACAATCGAGGAGCAGGGTGTCGATACTCTCTAATGGTTCTAGTCAGTGCAACTCAAGACCTGCAGGAGAAGCTCTGCCTCCAACGTGCGGTCGTTTTTCATCCTCGCTTTCGCTCTGCACGCTCGCAAGATGCCAAAGTATTATCGAAGGTAGAAAGCCTGGCACGGGGGGTGGAGCATAGACGGGAGATCTTACTTTAGTAACGGGCCATTGTTGTAGGTTATCTTTGAGCTTGGACATGCAGAAGATGAGATATCTATCTTTATTATCACGAATTGGAGTGCGACACGTTTAGCACGACCGCTCCATTGCAGTTTGTCGCCACCTCGAGACTGCTCTCGAAGCACACGCGGTCAAAGACGCGTTCCCCGGCGCCGCACTCGAGCACACCTTACCGCCCTTCATGGGTCTTCATGTGCCTCAAGAGCGCACACTTGAGGGAGAACGCGCAGCTGCACCGGTCGCACCTGTGGGGCCTCTCGCCAGTGTGGATCCGGCTGTGCGTGATGAGGTGGGTCTTCTGCGTGAACGCGATAGAGCAGCGGTGGCAGCGGTACGGGCGCTCCCCCGTGTGGCTGCGCACATGCCTTGTCAGGTTAGTCTTGCTCGAGAACGCGTTGGGGCAGTACGGGCACTTGTACGGCCTCTCTCCGGTGTGTGTGCGTTCGTGGTGCACCAAGTGCTGCCTGGTCAGGCAGCTCACTGCGCAGAACTGGCACCTGAAGGGCCGGTCGTACGAGTGCATCCGGACGTGGCGTCCCAGGCGCGCCTCGTCCGGGAACGACAGCGAGCAGTGCTGGCACGTCAACGCTCTCTCCACTGTGGCTCCCCCGATGCGAACGAGCGCGTGCATCGGTGCTTGGCCTCCCACGGCTGAGAAAAAAGACGAGATTGCACGCTACGTTAATACAGAAAATATAGGTACTTGCCAACAGGATGAGAAGGACGGGCGACCATGCCTTCTGACGTGCTTTGGCTATGCACGCACGCTCGTTCGAGAGATGGCAAAGTGCAATAGAAAGTAGGAAGTTTGTGCTGAACGTGGGACGACTGAAGGCCTCCCTACTAATCTCATCCTGTCAGCGACCATAAAAAGAACATGGCGAAAGCACGGACATCACAGGAAACCTGCGAGGCTAAAGGATTTAAATACGAGGTATGCAAACTAAATCATTGATATGCAGAAGTCAGCTAAAGTATGTTATAGGTTGCAACAACGCATTTTACATCTTTACACAAGGGCTCGATGCATACATCCCCCATGTGCGAGGCCGAACACCACAGATCGGTTTTTGACTTGGACGTAGAAGTGTCAATCTTACTCGGCTCAAGTATTTTGCAACAACCGGTCGTCGCATTTAAGCCTGCACTACCGCTGTAGTTTACCCATCTCCCTTCATTCCCGGTGGTCTTGGTATGAATTTGAAAAATGTGTACATTCACTTTCGATTAAATCGTGGGTGTACAGTCCACTGCAATTGACAGCCTGCAATTTTACGGGCCTCCTAGAAGTACGCGTACCAGATTAAAGTAGCACGAGTTGAGACACCTTTGCAAAATCCACCTGTCAGAAGACAACCAGACGCTGGGCACAGGGCCGGCCCTGCACCATCAAGCGTCCTGGGCGAACTCCAATGTGGCTTCCCCCCCCTTTTTACAAGCCTCTATCCACTAGGTACGACATCACGTTAGTAAACGTGCGAGTAACGGCCCAACACCAGCATTTTGTCAGACGAGAACCGCATTCCAAAAACGAACGGCAATCGAGCATATAGCGTCGTGTCGGGCGCCGTGTTCAAATAAATTGAAGAGCTAAAAATGAATTCAATTTTGATGGTATCATGGGCAACCGCCCAAGTCGCCCACACCTAGGGCCGGCCCTGACCGGGCACAACAGATTAATACCGACTTTCAACGTATAAAGACATTACAAGACATTTATACAACAAATCGGCCTTTCCAAAAAAAAAAAAAAAAAGGGATCCTTTTGACATGGACTGTTTATGACGCATTCACTCTCCAACTTCCTCCTCATTTGGTTCCCCTGAAAAAGAAAAGGAGAACTGTAACGTCATCCTGACAGGGTGGAAAATAGAGGTACAGCAGAAACAAGCAAACTGAAAGCAAATATCTTTTGTGGTATACAGTTCAGAAAATAAGTCTTTACTATAATATACTGGGGAAGTGCCCCCCCCCCCCCCCCCCCCTTTTTGCTGAAAACTGGATTAATCTCGACACGGGCGTTTGCCCGGTCAAATCACTAAAACCAAGATGGTGGCCAATAAAGAGCTTTGAAGGCAGGGTGAACAGAATAGGAGAAAGCACATTTATATCCCCGTCATCGCTGTTCGCGGTCCTGTGGCCACTGCAATGGGGTGAATATTTTCGGCTGATGCCGGCGCTTTGGAGGGGGTGGGCTCTTAAAGGGATACTGAACCGAAATTTAAATTTCGCAAAGTAAGGCTGCAGAAGTGTTGAACCGGACGCTACGAACTCCAAAACATCACTCGTACATCGATAGCTCAAACGGATGGCCGCACTTTTGGAAGAGAAGGGCGCGATCAAGCGAGTTCTTTGACGTAACTGTCCTCCGGGAGAATTTGAGAATGAGAAGAAGCGGCCTCGCTTCTCTCCTCCTCGCTTCGGTTCACCAGCTTGACGGGACGTAGCGAGGAGGAGAGAGAATGGGAATCGTGACGTGCCTTGTCTCGTCGGCCAAGTTCAATCGCGGACTTCTTTTCGGAAAAATACGGCGATCCGTTAGATATATCGCCGTACGAGTGATATTTTTTTATTTTTCAGCTTTCCGCCTATTCGCCCGGCCTTGTTTAGTGAGCTCGAAATTTCGGTTCAGTAGCCCTTTAACACATAATTTTCAGAATTCCAAAGTCTGCTAACAGTGGGCGGTTCAAAGTGGGTGCTTCTGCAGTATTTCACAGTACTTCCATCTCATCCTTTGAGAGCGATGATTAGTGTTCTGCATCAGTGGTCATTCACGTAAAGAGACCGATATTAGGGGAACGCTATCTAACAATCAAACAGTGCATGTATAACGTTGACGTTTGCTTCTCAACAATTGCCACAATATCGATACTGGCATCGATCGTTGCAAGAGGTACTGTTAAAACTATTCAATGTAATGAAGAAGTTGGAACTTGAAGGTGCAACAGGGCTTGTTACCACAGAAAGTCTGCCATTCTGTCAATGGTACGTGAATCAATGCTCTATTCTAATTTCTCCAGATGCCGTTTTTTTTTTTTGTTCTTGCAAATGTACCAGCTTCCTGATGGCCGAGTTTCCGTTCTGCAATACGTTAAAGGGGTGAAACCTTCAAGCCAAGCGCTTTAAAGACACCCATCTTAAGGGGGGACACCACCCAATAGGGTTAACTTTTTAACCTATGGCTTAATATGAATGAAATTTAGAGTATATACAGGAAGTTGCAAGGCAGAATGCAGTGCAAAGTTTCATCAGTGTACATGCGTTGTAAAATAACTTGTAGTCATTTTTATCAGGAACACATTGACTTTGTTTAGGAAAACTATCGTTGGGAAACTAATAAAATACTGAACATTTTTCTACTCCAGATCTGCAGCAGAATGCCTACAGAGTGCAGCTGTGAAAAGAAAATTTCCAAAGGAATTTACATCATGCTAACATCGCAGTGAAAAATCAAATAAATTTTTTTGCCTTTTATGTCAAGCACAAAATCTTAACATCTTTTATAAAAGACATCCACCAAAGTCAAAAAAACAATTCCATAGTTGCACTGCCCATAAAATTCCACTTGGGAAAAACAATAAGTGAGTCTTTCCTCTAGTCCCATTAACAAACAATAGTTTTCCTAAAATGAAATTTATGCCAAAATGTGGAACAGAGAAAAATGTGCTCAAAGTGTTCCAACCCCTACCTTTTTTTTAGCTTCAATGAACCGAAAATAATTTATAAAAAATTAACTATGCGGTGTAAACTAATGAAACTTTCTGGAAATACCCTTCAGATGCTGGTGGATGTAAATATGACATTTCTGAAACTCAACTTTTTTTGGAGAAAATTTTTTTTCTGGGTAGTGTCCCCCATTAATGCGAAGCAAAGCTGCATTATTTTCTTTTTTTTAAAAGCGCTTTTGTTGCTATTGGTTTATCGTGCTTCTTTAGTTCAACTTGTTTCACCATGCCTTCTCTATACTGACAAAGCCCGGCAGATCGCCACGAGACGCGACCGCCGAAATAGAAAAGGTAGAGCGGCACACAACGGATGAGAGAGCCAGGTGACGGGGGCCCTGCTGCGGTGAGACGCCATAACACAGTTTTCACAAGCTATGAAATGTCTGCTCGTGATCCTCGCGCTACCGCTTCTTTTCTCATCGGGTTTGAAAATCGTGTCCTCGCTGCTGCCAAAGCTATGCGCCGACGACCAGGTTCCCCGAGAAATGCTCAGAGCTACCAGATCCTCGCGCTCCAAATCTGCGACCAAGCACTCTATGGCTCCGTCGTCGAACTGCCAGGCTTTGCGAGTACAGAGGAGGCTATGGTTTCACACTCAGAGAATTCAGCAGCCTTATGAAACGTGGTTCGAGGCCACCGCTGTTTACAACTATACTCCACTGCATCTTACAATAGACCACTGAGAACACTACGAGCCATTGAAGCCAATTAGAGAGCCAGTATTACAGAGTGTCCAACCGCTCGATCGGAGTCGCATGGCTTATGGAGTAGGTTTGCAATATGAGCAGCGAGGAGGCGACCTCGTTCATTGCCTGCAAGCGCCCCTGCCCAGAGCCGTTTATTAAGAGAGTTTGGCCATTCATTGGTTTGAATAGGCGAGCATCTCGTGGCCAACCACAGGCCGCAAAACAGCCCCCAGCGATGCTTGCGAGCTCTAAAAATGCGACGAATGTCAGCCGTTTTAGCGTCACTAGAGTAAAAAAGGCAACTCTTGGTGACTGAAAACTCGGCGCGTGCGAGGTTTTCGTCAAGTCCATATTTAATGGTAAAATAAACGAACGCGTGTTTCGAACCAAAGCAAACTGCGTAGTTGCAATCATTGCTAGTGTAATGTAATGTCTTTATTCGGCTCTGGAGAGGCAACAGCCCGTACCGTGGTGCCGCGTCTAATGAACATGCTAATGCGATGAGTATATACATGCAAGATAACCAGACGGATTGTTGCTATTTGAGAGGATGCGAGTCTGATTTGAAGATGTCCACATTTCGTTGAGGCAGGTCAGCAGCGGGCCAAGGAAATCTGCAGCCTGTCATTCGATCTGTGCACGGTTGCACAAAGGAGCCTCAGGAGCATGATGGTGCTGTCGCTCACTGGGGTCGAAGCATCAGGCTCCATGGGGGTAGCCCAATCAAAGCAAAAAGCTGCCGCCTCCGAGGTACCGAGGCCCAAGGCTTAGATTGAGGCACCGCCGACACCCGGGGCGGCATCCTCATTGTCGTCATCGTCGTGCTGCTACGTGATTGAATGCTGTTTTTCACGCTTTAAATGTCGTTTCCAATATTGTGCCGTCCCGGTTTGCTGATTGGTCGATGCGTTGTCGCATATTTAGTTTATGCTCTAACCGCGGGGGGAATATTCGGCACTGGTGGCGGCCTTTGCTCCTTCCGCCTATCGGCCGAACTCTCCCAATATACGGCTCCGCCCCCACTTGCTTTCCTTCTCGCCACGCGACAACGCAGTGCATGCGCGCTTGCGACCAATCGTCATGGGAGGCATCCTCCATTAAATTGCAAACGCTCCCCATGGTTTGAGATGGACCCTAGCCTAAGCTCTCAAGAGCCAACCTTATGCCGTGCGAGTGTCATGTCACCATCGGGATGGGTGTAGAAACGCCCGGTGCGCGTAGTCACGTGACATGCTCACAGCGCTGGATTGGCTGGGATGGCTTGTAGCGTCTGCTGTGGTCAGTCAAGGTGAAACGGAGCATATCTGGGTAACTCTTGGAGTGCAGGAGAAAGCTGCTTGCAGCGAGGTCGGTTGCAGACGATGACGGACCTTTGCGACAGCACAAGCAAACACGAGAAACGCTATAACAAACGTAACCATGCAGTCACTATGACAACGCATTAAGCCACAGAAGATAGAGCTTAGGTCATGCAGCCCTCCTACTCTACCACGTCCAAACCAGTCAAAGCAGTCTCGCCAGTAATCGGTGTTACACCACACTCATCAGCAGCTGCCATCTTTAAATGAAGTTACCGGGATTGGATTGCATCGTTGCAGCGATTGAAAATAACACAGACGTTTAATAATGATAAACTTCAACAACAACAGAACAACATATTTGCCGCGAGCATTACTGTGGCATTACTGGCATTAGCAACATCGTGCATCTACGCTTGGTTGCTAGAGTGGCTAAAGGTTGAAGTAGAGTAGACAGTTGGGCGAGTTGGTAGTTATTGAACATCGTGACAGTTGCGCACACAGGGACAAGGCCAGAGAAGAGGAACACGTAGACGACAGACAAGCGCACACTCACAACTCATGTATTAACGAAAGAAGAAAGTGGTACAGAACGCAGAATCCGCTCAAGCGTTGGCCACACAGGCACGAGGGACCACAGGCCCAAGGGCTCGAGGGGGACTGTTAAAATTACCCACACGAAAATGATTTTAAAAAGGCAATTTCCTCCTCTGTTAATGAAACAGACGGAAAGCTAACACATCGCTCGCCCATGCTTAGGATAATGAAAGCTTCAAAAATCTCTCTGGTGTTTTTTTCTCGGTACCTGCCTATTATCTTGGTTTTCGCTAAGGATGGCGTACAATTACAGGATTTACAGTGAAGGGGTAGATGGCCCCCCCACCGTAGACTTTAGAGAGAGATTGTGCTCTCGTAGCCGGTCGTTCACACACCGTCCGGTCTGGTTGAAGCGTGAGTATGGCCACTGTGTGCGCGAAGTTGACCTTTTGGCGTGTTGCAGAGGCTGGGTCGCTGGGCGGCAGCGTGCTAAAGACACATTTTCTGCTCATTCACCGAAGAAGCTTTTCAAAACCTTGTGTAACCGGGGGAGGCACTCACTTGATCGAATGATCGTTTTAGCAAACGCCCACATTTCACCGAATCACACTTTAGCGAATAGTCGGACGCCGTGAGGCGGCGTTTTCGGGTGGGCCAAATGGATTCACACGCTGCCGCAGACTGTCGCCGCGAAGCTAACGAAGCGGCGTAGGCGCAGCGGATGGGTTAATGCGTGCCTCGTTATTCGCTAAAACGTCGATTCGCTCAAATGTCGCTGTTCGCTAAAAAGTCATTCGCTCATGTGACATGGACCCGATACCATCAAAAATTGACGCCGTGTGGATGTATTAGTCCTTGGCGAAAGTTTTGAATGTGTCACACGTCGATGTCTTTGCCGCATGCAGAATCTTAAACAATGCAGACCTCTTCAGTATCACCTCCAAGGGAGACCACACGCCAAGTTGCCGAAATCGGCTAACTAACAGCGCAGTCAAGGCCACGGCGTAGGCGTAGCCAACATTGAGCTAAACGCAATCCCCGAACGGCAAGTTAATGCCTTGAAAGAGGCAATGGGAGTGAAGCTGGAGGAGGCCAAGACAGAGAGAGCGGCCATAGAAAGTAGGATGTTGGCGAAGCTCGAAGAAGAGAGGACTTTGAGAATAGCGGCGGAAGAAAAACTGAAAGCAATAATGCGGGAGCAAAGGAACAAGAGAGAAAAATTAAAGGAGGTGTTTAATGACTGGATGAAGTCATGTGAACCAGTGCAAATGACGGTAAACGGGGTAGAAAACACGCCGCAACAGCTGGAGCCGGGAAACGGGGTCAAAGAAAAGAAGACATACCACACAGACGGGAAAGAGACAGATAGCTTTTCCCAAGAACGGACTGGAAGTGGAGATCTGGATAAGGAGCAGGAGGGACAGACGACTGGAGGCCAAACACAAAGAGGCCAGCACAGGAACTACAAGGAGGCCCTCATGAGGCAGAGGGCAGACCCAGATGGCGGGAAAAAAAAACAGGACAAAGAGAAGATGGTGGACAAGAGAGTCTTAGTGGTAGGGGACACTAATGCCTTCAAGATAAAGAGAGCCATGCTGAAGATGGTAGATTACGACAAGAAAGTTCACTTTGCGACTAAGCCGGGAGCACAACTGAGAGAGTCACTGGAAAGAGCAGAGAGGGATGGGAAAATATGGAATGCAGAGGCAGGGATGGTGGTCATACATGCGGGAGTGACAGATGTGCAAGGCAAAGAGTCGGTGGAAGAAACGGCAGCGGAGCTAGGGAAACGGCTTGAGGACTGGACCACGAGAGCCCCGAAACACTCTTTTATGGTGTATGAAGTCCCAGAAATCAAAGAGAAGGGGGACCCACTTAGAGAGAGGTGCGCCAAGTGGAACAGGCTACCAAGAGAGATCAGCCAGCAGCTGGGACCGAGGGTGGAGGTGGTAAAGAACACAGGAACGGGAAATGGCATGGAAGATGGCTGTTACAATAGAGATGCGGCAATTGAAGAGGGAAAAGCACTGGGAAACAGACTAAAGAGTTTTTTAGGACTGAAATGCAAGGGGAAAAGCACGACACCGATGAAAAGGCGACAGGAAAGAATGGAAGGCAGGCTGACACTGGACCAGGGACCACAGTGACTCGAGGAACAACTCCAGAGGATGTGTCCCCCACAGGGACATGCCCACTAAAAAGAGAAAGTAGAAGAGATGGTGCCTGCAACAACACGAGAGGCGGAAAACACAAAAAGGCACCAGACCAGGAAACAAGGAAAAACAGACGAGCAAAAAAGAAATAGAGGGAGGTGAAGATTGCCTTTCTAAACCTGCAGGGAGGAAGGAAAGCAGGAAAATGGGAAGAGGCCTTTCAGATGTTACAAGATGATAAGAGTGGAATGTTCGCAGTCACAGAAACCCACCTTAGGGATGAAGAAAGACCCCTGGATTGCGAAGGGCTTTTTTGGGATGGGGTAAACAGAGAGGGCAGTGAGAGAAGGGGAGGGGGGGTAGGATGCTTTAGTGGGCCAGGCTGGCAGAGAGAAAGCCCAGAGTGCAAAGAGAACATGTGGTTGACGGGGATACTGGCGGGGAGAGAGGTGGCAGTGATGTACCTGTGGACGGGGGCAGACAGCAGGGAGACAAACATCGAGCTAATCAAGTGCATTGAAAAAGACTATCACAACATTGGGAGACCTACCATTATGGTAGGCGACTTCAACGCACACCTAGAGGAGTTCGATGGGAGAACAGACGGTAATGAAAAGCTGCTGCAGGACATGGCGGAACACCTGGACATGGTAATCGTCAACACACAAGATAAATGCATAGGAAAGATGACATGGACGGCCAGAGGGATGAGCTCTACAATTGATTATTGCCTGACGTCCCTGGACCTGTATGGAACACTGAACTACATGGAGATAGACGAGGAAGGCAACAAGAGCTTGGGAAGCGATCACAACAGATTGCTGATGCAGGCCATAGAGATCGCGCAGAGAAAGATGCGTCCACTTTACCTCCGTTTCCTCGACATCAGCCGGGCCTACGACTCAGTCGACCATGAGGAGCTGTGGAGGCAGCTAGCAAAGGGGGGCTCGGAGGGGAGTGGATCAACCTGCTGAAGGAAATTTACAAGGAGACGACTATGGTGGCACAGTGCCAAGAAGAGATGACGCATCCAGTAGCCATCACCAAGGGTCTGAGACAGGGATGCCCACTGTCGCCACTGCTGTTTACGCTCTACATAGCAGGCTTCGAAAAGACTGCAGGACTGCGCCGAGGGCTTCACCCTGGGATATACGGAGACGGGAACCAGTGGGGGAGGAAAAATCCCTGGGCTAATCTATGCCGACAATATCGTCCTGATGGCAGACTCCCTGGAGGGCCTGCAAGCCCTTAGGCCCGCTTCAGATGGGGCAACTTTTTCAGCAATTTCGGTGTTGCTGGCGGGTTGTTCCCTAGCTTTCCCTAGATCGACACGAATTGCTGAGATCGGGTCCGGCTCGAACGAGCGAGCAACGCGGAGCAATTCGAAGACGTTTGAAACGGCTGCAGCCAATCAGGGACGCGATATTTTCACGTGACACCCCTGTGGTGGTGATGATGACAGCTATAAACTTGGTTCTAGTTTGAAATGGATCGTTTTTGGAAACAAACCTTTTCAGAAGGATGAGTTAATATTCTCAACACCATTCAAAGATATAAAAACACGTTTTTAGCGCGTAGTTACGCGTCTAAATAGTGTTAGAAAAATCGAATTTCATGATGATGATGGCAAGTCGTAGCAATTCGGTTGCTGCGTGTGAACGCGGGCGGCCCGTGTTGCTGGAGTTGCGACGTCAAGTTGCTGGGCGAAATTGCCGCGTCTGAAGCGGGCCTTATGAATGAGTGCAACACAATGGGGACGGCACTGGGGCTGAGTTTCAGTGCTAAGAAGTCGGCCTTGATGGCCTTCGGGGACAGAGGAGACACCGAGGCAGATGACCTGAAGATCCAGTGGGGAACAAGTACCGTGGGTAACGCAATACAAGTACTTGGGAATCCACATCCAGGAGGGTCACAACTACCTCGAAGACCATGAGACCAGGCTCCAAGCTAAGAGCAGGAGGTCCAAGGGGATATCGACTGCCAGAGCCCTCTGGGGTTACAACCGCTTCGAGATCTCCCGGGCGGTGTGGAAGATGGTGGCAGTGCCGGGTCTCACTTTCGGAAACGGAGTCCTGTGTCTGTCATCTCGCACGCGCGAGTGCCTAGAGGTGCGCCAGAGAGAAGTGGGACGGGCGGCCACAGGGGGCCAGCCGAGGAACACCTAACGAGGCAGTTCAGGGGGACATGGGGCGGTCCAGTTTCGATGCCAGAGAGGCCCGTTCCAAGCTGAGCTTCGAACGACGCCTCTGCCAAATGCAGGAAGGGCGGTGGGCAAGACAGGCTTTCAAGTACATCCACCTCAAGAGCCTCTCAACTAGGTGGGTGCGACGGACGCGCCAGCTGGCCCTCCGGTATCGCATAAACAGCCCTCTACTCTACCCGACTCCAGAACAACAACTGCAAAGCATCCGCACGAGAGTCGCCGAGACCGAGACTGAACGATGGGCGGAGAAGGCGGGACAGAAGCCGGCACTTGCCCTGTACACCAGGGAAAAACAGGAAGTCAGGAATGTGGAATTCATGGACAACGGCAGGGGCAGCGGACTTCTGTTCGACGCCCGGGGAGGCATGCTGCGAACGCGGGTGCTTCGAGCCAAGTACACCGACACCGACGTGCGATGCACCCTGTGCAGGGGGCTGAGGAAACGCTGCAGCACCACGTCACCCTGGAGTGCGCGGGCCTGTAGCCGGAGGTGCCGTGCGGCCATGGAGATCATACCGTGCGTGCGAGACGACAGACTTGGGGCACTTGGGGCTAGAGCACTATATAGCTCCTACGGAGCAGAGTAGCGCAATCCTTTGAACCCCGTGTTTTGCCGACAACATGGCCGACAGAGCGGCTCGGCGCATAGATGGCTCGGCGCGAGTCACGTGGTGCTCAGGGTTCCAGGAGGCGGCCCGCCCTATGGGAGAATACATGGAGATCGACAGAACACGGCTGATTAAAAAATGAACGGCGAGTTCACACTTTTCAAAACTAGTTTGTCGTGAAGTTAGTACAGCACTAAACCATTTATCAAAGTTTTAATAATATCGGATGCGTGTGCAAATTTTGAGAAGGCAATTTCCAAGGCAATGGCGTTTGAAGCAGACGATTTTTGCTCGCAGCGGAGATGGGCTTTTCGGGTTGGCCGGAGCGGGTCACGTGAATGGTGTGACGTCGCCGTGTCGTCTGCTGCATGATGCCGCTCAGGCAATTTTTTAAAAAAAGTCACGTCCTTGCGGGGCACAAAACTTAGCACAAATTATTCTAAAATGTTCCATTATTATGTCAAAAATAATTGCTATTCCGTACAACCCCACAATACTGAAGAAACAACGATTTTCTCACGTTCTCCATGCATTTCTGACCACAGTTGGAACCTCCGGGCGTTCGCCGCTAGTCGCCGAGAGGCGGCGTTCTAGATTGCGCTACTCTGCTCCGTAGGAGCTATATAGTGCTCTACTTGGGGCTAGCGTAATGGGTGACGTCAGCAACGTTTACTCTCTGCCCTCTCGGCGCTGTCTCACGAGCTCTGAGAGCCATCCGGTCACACCGCCCGCTGATTTGTTTTAGGCTAGGTGGCGCAAGCTACCGCCCGTTACAAGACCACAACAACAACAACAACAACAAAAGAGCCGTTTCACAGCTCGCGGGCGCGCGGGAAGCTTGGAATTTGGAAAGAGTCATGGCAGATTCCGTGGACATCGCGAAAGCGCGACGAATCTTAAACGGTTTTAGCTCCTTCGAACTGAACGACTTGCTCAGGCAGGATTTACCGGATCTCATCGTCGACCATGCGCCGAAGCAACGTCCCGGGGCGAGGCAGCGACCGACGCGAGCGGATGCCGTTGCCGACGCCATCTCGGCTCTGCAGGAGCCCCAACTCCGGCTGCAGGCGCTGGCGTCCGTCCACTGCTTCTTCCTGCGGACTAGGGCGGACAAGATGATGCCGTGGTCCCTGTTCAAGGTCTCCACGGATGCTACGGTAACGGACGACGTCCTCTTCAACAACAGAATCTTCATAGAGAGCGTCGCACGGTAAGGTCCTTTTTTTTTAAAAAAAAACTTTTCTGCGCGCTGTTATTTTTGTATATTGGGCTGTGCGGGACCATAGCCTCCTCTATGCTCACAAAGCCTGGCAGTTCGACGTCGGAGCCATAGCGGCCATAGAGTGCCCGGTCGCAGATGTGGAGCGCGAGGATCTGGTAGCACGGAGCATCAAAGAATCATTTCTCGGGGAACCTGGACGTCAGCGCGCGGCTTTCGCAGTGTCGAGGACCCGAAACACACTTGTTCGCTCGGGAGAATTGTGTTTTGGCGTCTCGCCGCAGCGGGGCGCCAGTCACAGGGCTCTCCTCTCATCCGTTGTCTGCCACTCTACCTTTTCCATTTCGGCGGCCGTTTCTCGTGGCGATCTGCCAGGCTTTGTCACTATATAGGAGGCTGATGGGACGCCTTCTGAGCAGCGGCACTCAGACCCCCGTGCCCGCGCCCCTTCCTCAGTACTCGCATTTCTCGCATGAGATATTAGCGCTGAAGAGGTGTTTGCAGGAGGAGCTTGTCCCGCTACTCTTGGCCTGCAACAGACTATAGCTCGGGCCGTGGGCTTTCTGGTCTTCACCGAGAACACCGATAAACATCAACTCAAAGCCGGGTCTAAAGTAGGGATGTTGCGAACCTCCAGAAGTTCGACTTCGAAAGGTTTTGAAATGCTGGCACCTCGCAAGGTTTGAGTTTGAAAAGTTTGCAACCTTAGAACCCCGCTGAGGTTCTAAATCGAATAATTTGAAAATGTTAAGGTTTTTGTAAGTTCGAAGTCGAAGAGATTGAATTCTGTTTTATAGATCGGTCGAAAAATGAGAATGTTTATAATTTATTCAAGTTTGAAAGATCGAATATTTCAAATTTTTTTTAGGTACTAGGTTGAACAGTTCAAAAGTTTCGATTTTAAGTTCCAAGTCTGAATTTTGCAGATGGAAATCTAATTCTGCAGTTTCAAACTAAGTTTTTATGTATTAATTAGTGAAAGGCTGAATCTGCCGAACTTCAGATTCGGCAACTTTGGCAAATGCCGAACTTTTGAAGAAAAGTTTGGCAAAGATTCGGCAAAAATTCGGCAAATGTCTGCGCACGCGCGAGAACGCGACGGCATCATGGATTGCAAATGGACGCCGTGCAGTTGTGCGGTTACCATCGTGCAGTGCAGTACAACCAGTGGTTATTGCGAGGTGTGGAGTAGGCAACACGGTAACTGTGCGTTCGCAAGCGAGTGTGGTTCTCTTCAATCTTTCTTCCTCAAGAATAGAAGATCGACCAGTAATTTATGCAGTCCACTGCGCAAGTGACAAATGATGCGGTGCATTCTGGATAACGTGATTTTCATTTGACATTTCCAGTGATGCAGCGAGGTAGTTGAAACATTGGCCGACAATTACTTTAAAGCACTCCTCGCAATTAGAACAATTCTCTCTTCAGCTCGGGAGCAGTGTGTTCCAAAACAAAATAATATTGCTTTTTCAATTAGTGTTATTTCGCGATTTTCATATATCTGCATAAAACTGAACACAGAACTATAATGCTCGACGTTGCACATTCGACATTCCTAACTCTCCCTATCTTCCGAAACGTTTGTGTGTGTCCTAACACCAGAAACTGGCATTTAAAGGTTAAAAACGAGACGCTGCAAATATGGGACGCACACTTTCATGCAAAGCTGACGTCAAGTGACTCAAATCGAGAAACATGCATATTTACATTAATATTATTATCTCTTCTGGTGAAGGCTCAGCAACCGTTGCATTCGTTTTCGTGCACAAAACGGTGACTCGGAGAAAGGAAGAATGGAGCATCATTGCCTCGTTTTAAAAATGTACACACCAATGGTATACACACATGCAGGCTTGCGCTGATGATGCCTCAAAACCAAAACTCGTAGCGTGATTCTTGACTGCACCACGCTCGCTCCTACCCAACCTCATTGTCACGCCACTTCTGCAAGGGGTCTCTAAAAGTGCCAGTAAACACACGAAAACAACACCGATACATTTATCTTGTAGAATATCACCTTATTCAGTAATAACTACGTCAATATGCATTAAACGTTGCATTTAAGTTAAGAAAAAAGATACATAAAACCTTTTTTCGCCAGAAAAAAACAAATATCAACGTTAAGTCTGGTAACAATGTATTTTTGCAGAATCTTTGCCGAATCTTTAGAAAAGTTCGGCTTTGCCGAATCCTAAGATTCAGCGCCAAACTTTCGATTCGGCAAAAGTTCAGTCCCATCACTAGTATTAATCTAAAAAAAAAAATTGCGAAATGTGCTACAAAGTTTACTGAAAATGTAGCCCATTTCTTTTACGCCGTGAATATACTCCTTCCTTCTCAGTGCTGTGGTACCGGCGGTACTACCTTTATTACCCGTTACTTGTCGTAACTTATGAAACAAGCATGCAGGACAATGCATTCACATGAAAGGCATCCAGGCTTCCCGAAAATGTTTAGTTTCTCTGGGCGTTTATTTTCGGCAAGATGACCCGTTGGACAGAGAGAACACAGGCACAGCTCCTGACTCAAGTCAAGGGTAATGAGAATGCAACCAGCCTTAATTGGGGACCACTCGGCTTAATACAGCTGATCAGGTCACATCCGTTTTGTTAGCGGGCTAACCATATTTCCGCTGCCTGGAACTTTTCTTGTTCGATTAGTGCAGATATTAGCCGCTCTAAAATGCAGCCGGTTACTAATAATAATAAGGTAGGCACTGATTCAGCGTTCACTGTAGTGCATTAGCGTTTTTCTTTGCGTGCGCCTTTCCTTAATGCTAGGAAATCGAGGGACTTGCGTTCAAAAACAATTAATGCTCTGAAGGACACTCTCAGCAAAGCGCCTTGGTTGAATTTTAAGCCTGCAGACCAGGGATCTGTTGGTGCACGGGCTACCTCGGAGCAACGAGGGACAGAGCCTTAAAATGATAAACCAGCACCTGAAGGGGACCCCTAGTTGGCCGCCGCCATGTTGCACATTTTTTACCACTAGACACGTGACTTTATAGTTTTACGTCTTGATTTTAACGAAGAACCGCACACAAATAATTGTTTCTTTATCTTTAATAACACTGCTGACAAGATAAGTTATGCTTCGTTTGTTTCAAGTCCAAAATATGCTTTTACAACAAAATCTCGGGCAGCTTCACAATGGCTCCGCTAGATGCCTTTAGCCGTAGTGCTGTATTTTGGGTTTTTATTGGAGCTAGACACTGATATCCGGGGCTACCAATATTGCAAAAATAGTTGATCATGTTTTTTTACAGCGATCACAACGCAAATCTCGGCTCAGTTTTGCGTAAAAGCCTTGGGATTTGGTACGGTCACGGGTCTAGTGGTCAAAATTGCACAACATGGCGGCGGAGTCACTTTCAACTGCCATTTTATCGGTCTAAGGCCCCTCCTCGTTGAAAAGTATCTTGGATGTACTCAATCGATTTGCTTAAAGGCGCGTGGATGGGTCTTGTGGATTTTCTTAAAGATATGTTGTACGAATCCGGTTGCCGTAACATCCCAAGAGATAGCCCAACTAAAGTAAAGAGCAAATCGGGTCGAAATGTAGAGTGGGCGAATTTTCGATGTACAATCAAAAAAAGTTGAAGAGAATATTATTTTTAGATGATGCGTCCCTTCCAAGCTTGCTTGTTATCGTGGTGAGGGGCAACGAAGTAAAGATGACTGTATTTGAATCCACACGTTAACAGTATCTCGTACACCAGTGGCGTACAAGATACCGTTAGTGTGTGGATTCAAATACGTCGGGCAAACCTCTAGATACGTTGGGCAAACCTCAAATACGTTGGGCAAATACGTTGGGCAAACCTCAGAATAACAGAGCATAAGGGAAATGTAAAGACCAAAGCGGCCAATTCACATATAAAAACATATACCAGAGTGTTACAACTGCACGGCAGAGTGGTCATGTGTAGAGAGGTGAACGATGTCAAAAAGGGTAGTGAAAGAGACGGTGAGGATTGATTCTATAGGCAACTGCATAAGTCAGGCATCGCTGGTTCTGTGTCCCACTTCCAAGTCCTTTTTTGCATGTGTAATGTGGTTGGTTGTTGTGTGTGGTTTTTTTTTGCTTTGGAAGTAAACTGTCTTAACAATGTTTTTTTGTTTTTTCCAAGCAAGGATGTTTATTGGTCGTCTGTCCAGCACGTTCGGTCGGGGTCGAAAAGTGTGTGTGGTGGGGGGGGGGGGGGGTTCTTTGTGTCTGTAGGAGCTTGTACTGCCGGCAGATAAGGCAAGAGCGTTTGCGTGTACTTGGACGATGACAAATCCAGGAAATAGGTCATGTCTTTTGTTAGGCTTTGGACCTGAAGTTTGGGTTTTTTGAGTCTAGTGATTGGTTGGTGACGTGGGAGGTTTTGGGTATATGTGGAAGTGTTACTAATAAACTTTCAGCTGAGTTTGAGACGACGCCTTCTGTCTTTCTGTTTCTCTCCCTTCCACTTTGGTTCTTCTAGTTCTCCACTTAGTCTCAGGTAGTTCAAGAAAATAGTAAGTCTACACCAGCTCGCCTGTGCCATCACAGTCTTATCATCAATTGATGAATGGTTGTGTTGGAAAAGGAAAACACGCAACCATGTCTGTAACATTGAAATTTTTAAATTCCCAGTGGCAAAAGGATAAACATAAAGGTACATAGAATGGAAGCGGCAAATTTTTTTGTCAGGTGTATCAGTCACGACTACTTTGACATTCGCCATTAAAATAAATAGTTCAATTATTTTCACCTTTGTGACGGCACTTTTGTAAGACGCGAAAATAGTTGAAATTATTTGAACTTTTCGAGGAGCTAAAGTACTCAGGCAAACTGGTTAGCAAACATTGTAAGCTATATCATGAGACTACCGTAAAATACTGAGCACCTGCCCATTCCACAATAAGCGCCCACTCCTGAATTTTGTTACATAATAGTTACATTAGAAAAATACACAAAAGATGTATTAGAGCGCAGCTCTTAGGCACCCATTTCCGCGTTTCGCGGCATCGCTGTCGGCGCAATCACCCCACTAAATTTAGCGGGAAATTGAATTGGTGTTGAAGTCAGGTGACGTCAATTTTCCCGCTAAATTTAGCAGGGAAGCTTAACCCGCTAATTTTAGTGGGGAAAATGACATCACATGACTTCATGTCACATCACCCATGAACAAATTCAGTGAGAGGAGGAGGGGGGAGGGTACGGAGGAGGAAGAGGGGCCATACCCTCCTCTTCTCCTCCTCAACAGGTGCACTCTACTTTCGCATTACAGAGATTTGTGAATGTCTTTCATTTTCTTTACATATTGTTAACCTAAGGAGTGATTATCTCAAAATTTTGAGTGGGTGCTTGCCCGAGGTTTTATGATCCTGTTATAGGTTTTATGGTTTTAGGTCCTGTAACATCAATTTCTACACTAAATTTAGTAGAGAAACTGGATCGGTATAATGGTCACCTGGGGTGAATTTTTCCACTAAATTTAGCGGGAAAATGGACGGACAAGCAGACAGACAAACTTTTTGGGATTAGCGGGCACCGTTAAGAAGCATTTCTTGCTCTAATATGTCCTGCACCTAAACTCAATGCCCCTCAAGGCCGCTTTCCTGCAAGCGTCGTGGACTCTTTTGGCGCAAAAGGAAAAGGAAGGCGATGCTCTGACTTCAGCTTTATTATTTACTTTGGACGCACTGTCCTCTCAGGTTCCTCAAAGAGGAGTGCAGCTGCGACGTCGAGCTCCGGTGGAAGTTGCAGCGTGGTGCCGTCTACGCCTGCTTCCTGATGCAGGACCTGTTTGAGGTCCTGCATCTGCACGCCCACCACGCGGTGTACCTGGTCCACTGTCCCGGCCTGCCGCTCCTGGCGGCCTGCGTGTCCCGGACTGCCATGTTCGTTCCCCTGGCCATGGCGCTGGACCGCGCCCTGTGCACGTTCGAAGTCAAGAGGGTGAAGGTGCCACACACCACGCTTGCGTGCGCGTTCCAGGACGCTCTGCGCAGCGTGGGCGTCTCGGTGAGTGCAGAAAGGCGGTCCACAGTCTGGAACGGTGAACAGAAACAAACGTGGCCAAGCTTCATGCGGGAGTATGTTGCTTCCGGTTGGCCATTGTTTATACTTTAGTTTTGGGGATTCGCAGTAAGTAGTGCATACATTGAAAGCCTCGCTGCTGAGGGCCAACCGCAGTACCTTCGGAATTGTACTTTTGCTGGATCGACACGCCTTTCTGATTGCTTGGGCGATAAGAATGAGGGCTTGTTCCTCAAAGAAATGACGAATCTACCGGACACATCATAAACGCATCTTCAGAATTACCTATTCGAGCCGCCTGGTCATTATACCCAAGAGCTACTTAAAACCTACAAGCCCTTATATACGGTCAACTACTTCGTAAACGGCAAGGCATCGGTGATAGGTACCTAGTGTGGACCGCTGGTACGGACACGACCGCACACGGTGATTGCCGAGAAACAAAAGACGTTTATTGCCGCATTTTTAATTGCAACCACAGGGGGCTGGCGGCACCGCTTGTGTTGGCAATGGATACGACGATGACGCTGGCCATGTCTTCCTTTCTTTAATAAAGGACAAGTCTGGAACTAGTGCTTGTCATGCTCTGTGTAGCGACGTGGCTTGCGGCACTGTCTCGAGCTTGTTAGTGCCACAGGTTGGTGTCCCGTTGACTGGCCTCGTTGCCGCTGTTGTTGTGGAGCTGTGGGAGCGGATATGCTCTCTGTTGTGACGAAGCTGTTTTCCTTCTTCGTTTGCCACTGTATGATCCGTGTGCTGGGTCGTTCTGTTAATGCGACCACTGTAGACCACTGAGAGGTCCGACTCTCAAACATTAAGACCGTCGAACTGTGATGCAGATACTCCAGATCTCTTGTACCTCGGTTGTACGTCTGTTGGCACTGGCATATCTCCTTAAAGGACACATGCAAAGGAAAAAAACATTTTTTTTTAAACAGCTTAGACGGAAAAAGGATGTTATTGTGGTGAAAGAAACAGGCAGGAGACAGACGTTTAAAAACAATGTTCTATTTCAGTGATGTCTCGTCAGGAACTGCTCTTCTTGAGCGCATCTTTTTTTCTTTTTCCAGTGCCGAGACTGAACTCGCTTGTCGGTGTGTCCAGTCCCTACATTATAAAACAATTTTACAATGAAGAAAAAAAATTTCTAGAGCTATATTTACGGCGCTGTACGAAGCTATAGTTGGCGCACCCGAGCGCTGCGGAAAAGTGGCTCTTATTTATCACGTGACTGGCCCTTATTTATCACGTGGTGTTTGCGCTCTTTCAGAAACTTCCTATGGCGTCTAAAAGTAACTTATTCATCTTTTTTTGAAGTATAACAAAATACTAAGATTAATAAGTAACTTTTAGAGCCCAAAGGAAACTCCTGAATAAGCGGAAGCAGACGTAATAGGCCTGTGTGCCGGTCAGATGACGGTGGCGGCGCCCCGAAGCAGACGAACTTGTGCGGCAGTGGCGATGGCGGCGTAGAGAAACGCGTTGAAGCGGTGTCGCAGAATGCTCAGCGTGCGGCAAAGGCGACGCAGCGCGGCGGCGTACGGGCCTAGCACGCGACCAGCGGCGGCTCCCGCGGGCGCCAACTACAAATTGTTTTGCGCCGTAAATATAGCTCTACATTTTTTTTCCCTTCGTTGTAAATTCTTTTTATAATATTCTTTTTCCATCTAGCCTGTTTAAAAACAAAGTTTTTTTCCTTTGCTGGCACTGTCTCGGGTTCTAAAGGCTTGCTGTGCGTAGGCCAGCTGCATCTTCGTCCTTCTTCCATCAGACGCCGGACTATGGACTCCAGGGGCCTGTCTCTTGGCATATTCCTTCATTCTAATAGGGCGCCGTAGAATTCTGCCGCATCGTAAAGCGTTTTGCACGGAAGCTTCGTTGCCTCCCGGAAGGCTCGCTCCGCCATTCCGTTTGAATGACGGCTCATTCTGTTTGAATGACAGTAGTGTGGACTCTATGTTTGTTACGTGGGTGATGTCGCAGCGTTCCATGAATTCGGCAAACTTGTGACTGTTAAACGGTGGCCCATTGTCACTGATCAGCCTTTGGGGAAAACCATGCGCAATGAAGACCTCTTGGCAGAATTTTATGACAACTTCTGCCGTTGTGCGATTCGAGCGTCAAAGTTTAAAATAAAACAAATAAAAGTCCATGATGATCGCTTACTCCTCTCCTGCTTGGTAGACAATGTCCATGCCAGCTGTCTGCCAGGGTAGTTCTGGGACATAGTGGCTCATTGTAGGCAACTTTTAGTTCTTGTGCTTGTTTTGTCTGCAGAGCGCACGTCTTCTCACTTTCTCTTGGATGTCTGCTGACATACCAGGCCAAAACATGACGTCTCTGGCACGTCGTTTCATCTTTCCTGTACCCCCCTGGGCTGCGTGCAGCAGGTCTAGGACTTCGTTCCTTATGATGCTGGGATGGATCAGTCTGTTTGACTGGAAGACGTTGCCCTCAGCACGGATCTCATCGCAGTACGGCCAATAGGCTCGAATTTTTGGGGGGACGGCGTTTTTGTCTCCTGGCCCCTTCATGCTTGCATACTCCCTTAGGGTATGGAGAGTCTCATCTTGGTTCGTTGCCCGCTTGATCTGCTGTAGACTTTCTGCAGAGATTGTCACCTCTTGAATGACGTTTACTTGAAAGTGTTCTTTTTCTGGCACCTTCTCGATGAAAACCGAGACAGTGTCTGCGATGAACATCTTATTTCCAGGCTTGTACAGAGCAGTCCACTTTTAAAGGGAACTCCTGAATGCGTGGCCGGCGCTCCGCGTTACGCCGGCTATTGGCACCCGTGGAAGCTTGGCACACACGCAGTGAGCATCAGAGGCGGTGCGTGCTGTGCGTCGTCTGCTACTGCACGCTACGGCACAGCCACAGTGAGCAAAAAAGCGGTGTAGCAGCAGACGACGCGCTGCCTGCACCGCCTTTGTTGTTCACTGTGCCAAGCTTCCATGGTGCCAGCAGCCGGCGCAGTGGAAAGCCCCGGCCACCCGTTCCGGTGTTCCCTTTAAAAGTGGACCGGCTCTGTACCTTATCTGAAGTCAGTACTTCTGGAAAGCCAGATGCACTCTTTGCAGATATAGCGGACATTGGTGAAGTGATTTCCTGAAGATCACCTCGAGAGGGCGTTGGTCACTTTCCACCAGGATGTATGGCTGAGCGAAGACGTAGTCGTGGAAGCGAGTGCTTGATGGCAAATGTCTCTTTTTCAATTTGTGCACATCTCTATTCCACTTGAGTCAGTGAACGAGAAGAGTATAGGCCTGAAGGTGTCCGTTCTGCAGGATGACAGCTCCTACTCCTTGTGTGCTAGCATCTACTTGCAACACAAGGGGATGCGTCTTGTCGTGGTATGCCAGAACCGGTGCTCGTGATAGGGCTTTCCGAAGATGCTCAAAGTTTTCTTGCTGAGAGTCGGTCCAGACCCAAGCATTGTCCTTTTTCAGCAAGTCTCGTAGAGATGCACTTAGTATCTCAGACATATCTGGGATAAACCTGGCAACATAATTCACCATTCTTGGAAAAGTCTTCAGTTCCTTTGCGTTTTCTAGGACTTGAACTGCAGGGATGTCCTCTGCTCTGTTCGAGTCGATCGAGAGTCCTTTGACGGTTAGCACAAACCTGAGGTAGCGTACCTCCCTTTTGTAGAAGTGGCACTTGGCCAGGTTCAGCATGAGGTTTACTTCTTGGCACTGTTGCAAGACGTTTTGTAGACGTCTGTCGCGCTGTTCTTTTGTTGAACCCCGTGCCAGTACTGTCACGCCCGTTTATAACGAAGTCGGTCATAGTGAAATAGCGGCTATAGCGAAGCGATCACGATTTCCCATTCCTGTTTGCACTTTTTCAATGTATTTGTTCCTGTTTTTAGCAAAGGAAATTGAATGGCTCCCGTGGATTTAGCAAAGACAAATTTCGTGGTAATTAAAAAAAAAAGTCGTATTCGGAAAGTTTACAAAGTTCTCGACCTTTGCACTTTGCGGCCGCGGCTGCAAAAGCTGTTGGCGGCAGCCTCTGTATCGTCTGTTCCCCAATCCTTAACTGGGAAGCACTCTCTCTGCAGAGAAGCTGTAGTGGCATGTCGATAGGGGCTTTCGGAGCGCTAGCTCGGACGTAGCGACGGACACAACGGAGAGAGTGCCTAGATTTAAGGGAGGGAGCAACCCCCACCATGGAGAGCATTCGCAGTTTAATGGCAGGCGCCTCCTGGGCAGATTGGCACAAGTGCGCTTGCATTCGGTTGTCGCATGGCCAGCGCGGTGAGGAAACCGGGCTGAGAGGCGGACACGTTTGCAGACGGTGAACGCTTTTGACTCCTTGCATGCTGCAGCTCGTTTTGCAAACGCGGCCCACAAACCATGTGACCCCGATCGAGTAACAGACAACGAAACAGCGCACCCTCAAAACAATCACAAAACAAAACAATCAAAACAATCGTTGTCAGTCATGAACAACCAACTCGCCCGAACCTCCGTTTTAACCTGATCGAGTAGTTGCCCCCTATCTGAAAGGGGCCCTGCAATCATATTTAAGCATCTACCCTTTTTGGCGGTTTCCACGTCTCTTGGGGTTCGAACAAGCCAGCGGGCAGAGAGAGAGTAACTAAATTTCAGTGCATCATATTTTAACCGGACGACGCGGAAACCTCCTCCACCTACGGGGGTGACCCGTGGTGCCGAGAGCGCGCGATATGTGACGTCTTTGGTCCTGGGCTTACTACTGGTTAGAGCCGATAAAAGCTTCTTTTTAGTCAAATACAAAATATAAGTGGCGCGAACCATTTCAATTATTTATGAAAGTAGTTTTTGTTCACTATTTTAGATCAGAAAAGAAACAAGTGCAGTTTAGAAAGTACGAAAACAAGAAATGACCCGTCGACATACCCGCCACCAAGCGGTAAAAAAGGCGGCGCATACTAGAAAGGGGTAGTGGGATCAGGCGCCGACTAGTGGCAAGCGTAGAAAGGTCCTGGATGTACGCGGTAG